GGGGGGGAGGGGTGGGGCCCTTTAAATTTTTTTTAATTTTTTTTTTTTTAAAAAAAAAACAAGTTTAAAAAGGTTGTCCCTAATATTATAAAATAGAAAGCAGCATCCTGGTATATGTGGGGTTTAACGGAGAGATTATTTTTATTATGCTTTGCTTGACCGGGTTAAAAGCCATCGCTAAGGAGCGACATAGAGCTGTCTTTGCCAATTCCCTACCCACACGCCAACGGCCAATCCAAAATACATGGAGGACCTTGGGAAATGGGTTTTTCTTTTTTTTTTTTTTTTTTTTTCCATTAAAGTCATACAAGGGAAAGCTCACAGTTTTAAGTCCAAAAGGAAAAAAACTGCTCCGGGCAGCAGCTCACAAGCCTGCAGTCCATCGCACGTGCTGCTCTCCGAGCAAAATCAAGGGTTATTTTGCTTGCGGAAGGAATCAGGTTCTCAGAAACCTGCGTCACTGAAGTAGAAATGAAAATACATATATATTTGTTAAAATATATATTCCTAACGTGTGTATATTTATTGACATAGATATTTGGAAGAGTTAAAGAAACAGTTTCTATATAAAGACTTCCAAAGTCCAAGCGTGCCCATCTACCTGTACAATTCACGAGCTCGTAGCTAGGCTGCCGGCCAACGACGAAACCGGCGTGTTACAAAACCAGTGCTGTACATACAAAATGATACCACTAATTCACCCTGGGGTACCAAAAAAACCCCAACAACCCCCACAACTGCTGCTTCTATTGCCACCATCACTCGGTTTTGTGCCTGTGGTGGACACAGACGTGGGACCAACTAATTCTGTCCTGGAAAGCAACTGCCCGAGTGCGACAAGTAGAAATGGCAGGGCTGTTACTTTAGGCACAAAGCTTCACGCGTTGGGTCTTAATCGAATCTGTTCTCTTTGAAGTAATTAAACGGCCACACGCAGTAGTCTAGGGATCTTTATTGTAATCAAGATCTAACTAGAGAAAGTCACTATTAGGGCTGGATTTTGCAGCAAGCAGAGAGAAAGTGCGCTAAAGCAGGAAAAAAGGTCTAAATTTATTAATTCAAGCTTTGCAGGGCCCCACTAAGATTTTTTATTTCCTTTTATTTAAGGGGCTATTTCCTGGGGAGGTATTTCAGAGTTAACTGAGAGATTTTAAAGCATAACTTCACTTTTTACAGCAGCTCCCCCGATACGCACTTATTATGGACGGAATGGGACTCTGGCGGTGCAGCTTCATCCTCCTGTCAAGCGGACTGATAAGGCACTTGGTGCACAGCGAGAGGCAGCGCGGAACAGCCATTTCGCGTCACCTCCCAGGGAACGGCGTGTCACACGGTGACATCCAACCAGCCCTTTCACTTTTTTATTTGGTGCTAATTCCTGGTGGCGAGTAGCGCTGTGGGCACTGCTCCGCTGCCTTCACAGCTTGGAACCCGAGAGGGATGTAAAGGCCAGGCTGGCAGCACAGCCGCTCCTCACCACGCATGGCTTGGGTTACTCCTAGAGCCTCGGCAGACCCAAGGAGGAGACACATCTATTTCACTCAACATTATTAATGGTCTTGACCTCACAAAATTACAGACGCTGGTATTAGAAAGGAGAGCACAGTTATCTGTCAAAATAATGTTTCTAAACATTTTAAAAATGAGTGGAAACGTTTCACGATGGCCCTGATCCAATCCCTTTCCTCGCAGAGTCAACTAGAGCTTTCAGCTGACTGCTGAGGTGTCCCAGGACACCCGTCAGTTTTGGATAAAAGCACAGTTCCCATCTCCAATGGGAGAGTTTGAGAGCCTAGCACAAATAAAGGGACCTGTAAGCTTTCGCAATGGCTGTACGTTTGCCCCACTTTAGCTGACCAAGTTTATCATGACAAACACAGGGCAGAAAAAGGCAGCTGTTGTAAACACACTGATCGTGCCTCACCATCAAAGTACACCAGGTCCTGGCACAGCAGCCGAAGCAGCCACCCAAGGACAGCACGATTCCCTGACTCCCTTCCTTACACTGGAGAAGCGGACACCTGAAAAACCTTTCCAATTCCTGGCCCTACTTGTAAACACACCCAAACTGACGCAAATAAACCCACACTACAGGGTTTGCAGGGGACAAACCAAGCCCCACAGCTTTCCTCGCCTACGTGGCAATTTCTCCTTTTTTTCTTTTTTTCTCTTCTAGCAAACACATGAGAAGAATGTTGCTTTATGGAATTGTTATTTTACCCATGAACTGGATCAAGAGTTTATCTATACAGGATCGTACAGGTCTCTCGGGTATCCGAGACACCCATTTCGGGCAGTCTGACATGCGCTTCCTTCCACACGTGCGTGCATTTGCACTTCACCGTACGCCAGCTGCACGTCACGGCAGCTGAACGGCGGCGTTGCTAAGGTCCATCATCATCATCATCATCACATCAGAGGAACCTGCGCGACTGCAGCAAGCCTCTTTTGCTCCTTGTACCCCTGTACTGTCAGGGCTGTTCCCTCAAGTCTAATCATGACGAATTCCCCGTCGGGCCCCAGCCGCGATGCAGAAATACACGCAGGCAGCCTGGCACACACAGGTTACCTATCCGCGACCTACTGGTCTACCGCAAGCGTCTGATGGCAAGCCAAACAAAACCTACTGACACTATTACTTTCAGCATGTTATAAAGTCAATTTTGGCAGAAAACTATCGGGAATACATTCTGCAATTACGACATTGACGTGATCAGATGGTAGAGTCAGCTAGTACAGGTATTGCTTCCCAAGCTTTCAGAGTATGTAATTACAAACAAGGGTTACGCTTAGATCAAAAGAACAAACGCTTTTCAGCTCTGTCCTGAAAGCCTAGTACAATTTCTGCTTGGCAGGGTTCTTGCTCTTCCCCAGAAGAAAGCCAAAACAGAAATGACCGTGGCTTTTGGATCGTAAGGCAATTCCTGACTGGATCTCAAAACCAGACCGTTAGAACCCTGGCCCCAGAGCAACCCCAGGGCACAGCCTCTGTGCTGACCCTGACAGCAGCCACCCAGTGCGGCCACGCCAAGTCCGTGCTGCTGGGGGAGGTTTTTTAACATGAGGACCCAGCCAAAGACCAGGCCCTCCCTGAGCCGTGCGGGGAACGTGGCAGGCCTCGTCTGTCCCAGCACGTTTCCGACCCGTGCATTTCGAGGAGATCGCCGCAGCGCTGCGCAGACAGCTAACACCGCGGTCGCCAGGCTCGGCCAGGACTGCTCAGGGCTAACACACAGCCCCGCGGAGCCAAACGGAAAAGATGATACGAGTTGCCCACACATTTTAAGTAACGACTAACAACTATATGCCTGGTTATGAAGACAAAGGAAAAAATACTTGTCCTGTCATCGCTTTGAGTATGTTTTCCCAGTGCTTTTATTGGGGCCTCCTCTTGGGGTTGGGATCTTGCTTCCTATAGAGGGAGGTCGAGCTTTTGCTCCTGCAGGACCTGCTTTCCTTAAGTAGTGGCCACCTATTTTGCCTGTGAAGAGAAAATACAGATCATTATTGCAAGCACATCTAGCCCCAGTCTTGAATTTCATCTCCCATTTTGATTCTCAAGCTATATCAAGTCTGACTGGCTGGTACTGGCAACCAGAAGCTGGCAGGCATCCAGCCTGAGGTGCATCTCCTACCAGGAGTGGTAGGACTAAAGGGTCCTTTCCCATCTCCAGGAAACTGCTCTGGAGCTTTAGCTGCATCCAGGCAGGATTTCAGTTCCTTCTATGTCTCTGAATTCTCGGCAGCAGTAATGAGGATTCCCAATAGCCAGTAGGGACAGCAAAGCTGCAGACAGACAGACAGACAGACATGACTGTAGGTCCAGTTCAGGACTGGAAACGGTTGAGTTGAACCGCATTCACTTACGACAGCTGAAAGAGACGATTCAACAGTTCCTTCCAGGAACTTAAGGGTAGTTGTGAAATGCAGATGTGAGCAAAGCAAACAGCAGAGAGAGGAGGTGAACTCTCATAACCACCTGAACATGCAGCGGACTACGGAACTCTGGAAAAAGTCTGAAGGAGGAAAGGTTTTGGATGTTACTGGTCAAAAGAGTTTTGGTGCTGCAGACCAAAAATAGCTGGTTTGTTTAACTTCTGTGTTCAGGAAAGAAAAGGATTTTGCATGTGCTCCATGCAGAAAGATGACTTAAAAAAAAACCACCTGACATCAGCATCAGTTTCTCTTTGTTGGTGAAGAAGCTGCACAATCACAAATTCTGCCTAGCTCCTGGGTCTGAATTGAAAAGGAAAAGCAGCACGCAGCACTAACTATTCAACTCATCTTGTAATTAGGATTAGATTAGCATCCTCTGATTGAACATTAAAAGCTAAATCAGGCGCTCGGTTCCCTGTGTCAGCGTTCAGGAGCCTTCCAGAACGTTAACCGTTTGGTGGCGCTCCTGGTTGCTCTAGTCACGGCCACACTGCTACACAGAAAAAACCCGAACCGATGGAATTACCAGATACACCCGCTTCCCCCCACCAACGGAGCCAATGCCTCGGTTTGAAGCCATGGTCATTGAATGACTTTGAGAATTTGCTCCCTCAGCACAAGTGCTATCAGTCAGCTTACACAAACACCGTGATGAACAAGTAATTAAGAGCCAGCTTGCTGTGGAGGATGAAATACTTAAGTAAAGGCAACACCGTAAAAAGCATAATCCTTATTATCATAAACTAACGTCTTACCAGGCTGCACCAGAAGAGTTTTATTTATTGTGGATAACCTCCGTTGATTCATCTTACAGCCGTCTTTGCCCATTAGGTGAGATTTCCAGGCCTGAAGTTAATTAAAACCAAGTGATATTACAACACCAGCGAAATTAGCTGATCTTTTACCTAGTCACTATGTATGCACACGGAGGAAATGAGAGCTGTACACAGGCCTTATGGCAACTGCATTTTAATCTGCTCACTCGTAAAAGCATGAGCACCTTATGACTTCCTAAGTGAAACAGAAATTAATACATCCATTTTTTTAATATAACTTAAAAGGTACATCACAATAAAAAACCCCAGCCAAATCCTAGAAATTAAGAGTGAGTGACATTAGTTTTGTTTTTTAAATTTTCTTAATTAACAACTAAGTTCAAAGCAGGAAAAAAAACAATGTACAAATAACATGGAAAAATCTGTTAATCTATACATATTTTAAACTGAAAAAGCACGGGCATAACTACAGGGTTATGATAATAGTTAAAGCACTCAGCAAAGCGAAGGAGTCAGAGCTGCTATTACACAAAAACATGACAGCCTCTTCAAACTAGAGGCTCTGTGAAGTCTTTTACTTACAGGAATAATTTGGGCAGAAGCAATAAAAAACAAAACAAAAACAAAACCAACAAAAAACCCCAAATCTAAGCAGCACAACATTCCTCAAACAATGTTTCGGACTTGGTTACAGTATTTTCTGAGTTCCTCACATTGGGCAAAACAAAAACGATTTGGAAAAGACTTGTTTTTGAGAAGAGAAGCACCACTCAATGGTCCCAATGAAAGGACGAAAACAAGACCAGTTACGTATCCGCCATTGACATTTCGCTGGATCTGATGCTCAGTACAGAGCTGCCGGCTGCCTCCTGGATAGCCTTTTTCCAAAAATTAAAGCACTCAAATATGATCATAACATAGCGCTAGATGATTCATGTAAAAGACAAACAGATATGTGAAGTATTTTCTGAACAAGTCACCTTTTCTATCATACCAATACACATTTTCAGTTGCTGAAGGCACGTTTTGGAGCTGGCACGTCAGCGATTTCATAGCATCAGGCAGTTCCAGGGGCAGACACAGAGAGAGGCCATCTCAACTCTCTTACCAATTACAGCAGTTCTTGCTTACTTTCTTCATGTCAACTTTTTCTTATACCCAAATCAAGAAGATCTTAACCCTGGATGCCCTGCTGCACGTGCTCAGTCCTGCTGCAGTATTTTAAGCTGCACAGTGTCACCCCGAACACTAGGGCTGACAAGGGAACTCACAGAATCTGGCAGCAGTTGGGAATTTGGAAAGCTGCAAGGTGTGTAGCTGCCTATGCAGGGGGAGAAAGACCGGCGGTAAAGAGCCTGTAGCCCTGGGGTTCCCACATAGACCTTTAAGGGTAGAAGATCCAGGTCCCCAGAGTGCCAGAGAGCCACTACAGACCCCGGCAACAATCCAGGCAAGTTCTTCAGTCATTGGGTGATGGAAGAGGGGGTTAGAAGCCAGCGTTAGAAGAGGACACACACTCAGGCCCAGTGACATCACATCAGACCGATCTGGAAGGCAGTCTTACCTCTTCTCCTGGGGAAAAGTTGTCATGGCACAATGGGCAGTGGTTTGCCACGTTTTCTGGTTTGGCAGCTGAAATGATCAGAAAAATACTGTAAGAGTGGCAAAGCCAAGCTGATTTCAAATACAAGAGGAGAACTTGCCTAACGAAGAGCGTAACTACCCGACAGCTAAACCAGCTCCCACCCTCTCACCATTAGCTGCTGTCGGAGAAGCCCCATGTCCAATCACCTACATGGAAACAAGATCGACAGGAACGACAGGGCTTAATCCGCAAGGATGCGGTAGAGGCTTTCTGCTCTCCTCACTCAGCCTCCCCACACACACTCACAGAAGCGAAGCATTTCAAGCACTGGGGAACTCAGGCCCTTACTCCAAAAGTGTTCCCTCCTGCGGATTTACTCAGATGTCTAACCCCGCAGTGCCCGAACAGAAGTGCTCTGCCTTGCCAAAGGCACGTGGTGTTTGAAAGCCTGACTGACTTGACCTTTGATGTTCCCCCTTCCTGTTCAGAACTACTCACGATTGCAAGTCTTGCTCTTAATATGTTTGGGCAACTCATCTTTGGGAAGGGCCTCACTGCACCGTTGACATTTCCCAAAGCTGTCCTTTCTATCACAGTCGGTCAACAAGTGCTCCGTCAGGCTGGCTATTTCCACCACCTGCAACAGAGCAAGAGGCACCCAAGAAGATTTGTACTGTACTGAGTAAACAGGGACGGTATTTGAAAACTGCTTATGGGATTTTTGGAAGTTAAATCTCACTTCCCAAAATAACAGAGGGAAAGCAACATTTTAGTCCAGTTATTATTACAATTTATAATGCTGCTCTTTTCGGAAAGCACCCCCCAAGATCACACAGTCGTGTTCAAATTCATCTACCCTAGCGGGAAATATCTTACGGCTCCTTAAAACCAGAACAACAGTTAAGGTCTCGTAGCAGCTCTGGAGGGTTTACACCTAACCTGCTTGCAGTGCTCGCATCTGGTTAACATGGGGCAGTGCTTCCAGTAATGGAGATCCAGGCCTTCCTCTGTGAAGGATGCATCCCTTCCACCGCAAAAAATACATAAGCTAGGGAAAAAACCCACAAACATCAGTGACATCACAGAATGAAATGGATGAACCCTCTGTCTTCTGCCAGAAACTGTTCCAAAAACCAGCTAACATCTTGGTGCACCTTATTTCCCCATATAGTGCTGACCTTCGGATAGGGCACAAACAGATACTGTAATACAATTTATGGTAAAGAGAACTATAAAGCATTTGTTCACCTAGAAAGACATAATTCCACAAAAGCATTGAGAACAGCTCACTGAAACTGGCTTTCACGGCTCCAGAATTTTCCCACACTTTCTCTATGCCCTTATCCTACAAGACACACAAAAGGTACCAGACATCTCTGCTTTATTTTATACTGGCCATTGAACATTACACCCTGGCAATTCCTTACCCCACAAGAGACTACTCTGAAAACATGTTCAAGGTCGTGCTATCCAAGAACTTTAAAAATCAGCATTTAGGATTGCCTGGTGAGAATTCCAAATCTGTCAGAAGAGATTTTCTTTTTCATTGTTTCAGTGCTGAAGGTATCAGCTTTGATCTACAGGAAAAACGTTGCTAACATCATGAGCTTGCAGGTTACACCAAGTGCTTGAGGTGGCGAGAAGCTGCTCATCCAACTTACTTATCCAAGTAATTTGCAACAGAGGAATGAACATCTGGAACCTCCGCTGCTGCAGGCTGCCGGCTTTTGTTTACCTCATAACCTGTAAAAAGGGAACTGTTAAAACCAAAATCCCATTTTAATTAGCTGTTGTGCAAGCCCAGAAATACTGCTTTTCTGGATCTTAACAGAAAAAACCCCTAACCGAAGCACACCGTTGCCACGCTGGTAAAGAGGCACTGAAAGCCAACATACCTGCAGGCAGTTGGGAAACTATTAACTATTGATTAGCTATTGCTTTAGTGATCTACAACAGTAAAATATTTTAGAGTTGGGGTTTTTTTGGTTGGTTTTTGGTTTTTTTGTGGGGTTTTTTGGGGTTTTTTTGGTTGTTTTTTTGGTTGTTTTTTTTTTTTTTAACCACATAGTAGATGATCTACCCCTGGTTGGGGAGAAACCTCAAATGGTTTCCAGCCAAGCCACACTAATTTCTTATTAGCAATTAACTGGTCAGCTGATGGTAAATTTTCTTTTGTGAACTTCACGGTTTCTACAGCAGGTTGAGACTCAGCTGGTCCGAAGCGCTCTGGCGTGTTTTAACTGAGATAATTCAATAATCTATTAAGCACATACAGTGTTTCAAAGACTTCTTGAAATACCTCTACATTTCTTAATACTATTTTAAACTACCTACCTTGATTCTTTGGCTTCTGAAAATCAGATTCTTTCTCCTATTGAACAAAGAAATTTAAGTCAGAAATTTGCTTAATGACTGTGATGCTTGCCAGGGAGAAAAAGAACAGGTCATATTCTGATTTCTCTCTGGAACTAAAAGCTTAGAAGCAGAGCCAAAGCATTACAACATTTGTGCTTCTGGTCCTACAGCAAATCTCTTGGGTACTGAGGCAGCAATCTTCTGGAAACACAGTCCTACCTCCTGGCACGGGGTAGCTGACTACCTTTCTAGGGTTCAGATCTAAAACTTCATGGATGTGCGGCACAGCGTGCTTCTGGAGGGCCTCGACACACCCAGTACAATTCCCGTACTCCAGCTGGTACAGAAACACACGGACTTGTAGAAACACTCTCAAATTTACCATACGACAGACAAAGCTGTTATAAAGAAAAATGTCCAAATTTCATACAATGTCAGGAAAAACAACGCCTCAGATTTGAAGCTGGAAAGTCAGTTAGGGTGTGTCATGGCGTGTCTCTCTCTTCTTTTTTGGTTTATAATGAGGCAACAGTAACGTTAATGACCTAAGCCTGTGATGCCCGAGGAGAAAAGGATCAAAAAAAATAAAAAAAAATCAAAAGCAAACCACCCCAACCTTTCCAGCTTGAACTTCTGCTTCTATCTCCTTTAGAGCTGCCAGGTGACCTTGCAGAACTTTTATTTCTTCCTTCTTCTGTTTCTCTGCCGCTTCCGTCGCTGCCTTTCTCTGTGCCTGGCAAGAAATACTCTTGAATGACAGAAGTTTTTGAACCATCTGTCGCATAGACGAGATCGCAAAACGCATCAGCACAGAACAAACGGCCAGTGCAGCACAAGCTTAGTGCAGTGACTGGCCTGTCACAGCAAGACCTCCCTCCCCTCCGCACTGCCTGAAGGAAACACCCAGCATTCCCTCGGTGCTCACTGTTTCCAAGGCGAGCCAGCACGAAACAGTAAAGGGGTGTTACTGGGTATCACTTCAGAAGTGCCACCTCTGTATTCTTTGCAGGCTTTACTCGTGAGTGACACACGCAATAAAGCCAACACCAGCTTTTTGCGCTAAGTGACGGTAACGACACCCCCCGCCACGTGTGCCGTCCGCTGCCCAGCGCAGCAGCGAACCGGTACTTCACTCAGCGGAACGCAACGTTTCAAGCGGCTGTGCATGTCCTGCAGCCTCATTACTTACCCTCCTTTCAGCTTCAGGGAGTTTACCGTCTATTTTAGCAAATCCATCAAAGAGTGTTTTGTAGAGAACGGTCTTGCGGACGCTGGCGTTATCCGGGGGAAGGTACTCCAGCACCGCAGCCCTGTGCTTTCTGTACACATCAAAGATGATGCGCAACGCTACATCACGGACTTCATAAACTCTGTGTTCCAAAGCTCCCGTGGCAAACTGGAAATGATAAAAAAAAAAATCATTCCTCTTTTTCCACGTGTTTTTTAAGGCCTTGTTTATTAGTCTAAGGCAATTATTTCACTGCAGTAGGAGAAATCTTCACACAGACAGGTTTTTCCAAACACTTTTGGACCCACTGATTATTTTTTCCCGCCGCGTTGGCATCTTGCTTCCTCACGAGGTTGTGTGTTGTCACCTCCAAGAGGCTCAAATTCTCTTCAGCAGTTCACCAAGCACCCCGGAAAGAGACAGACAAGCCCCAATAAAACAGCAACAGCAAAAAAGCTCCACGTGCTGTAAGCTCAGGCTCCTACCTTCATGACATTGCCGACGGTAAACCCAGAGTCCTCGGTTCCCATGTCTTTCAAGAGGCATTCCACTAATTCCACTTGACTCATTGCCAGGTGTGTTGGGGAGTTGGCTTTTAACGGTTGAACCAAATGAACAGGAACGATCTGCAGGGGTTTCACGTCACTACACAGCGCCATTTCCTACAAGCGTACAGAGAGGCGGTGCGCACGTGAGAGTGCCGAACGAGGAAAGCTGTCTTCGCAAAGCAGAGTTACTCTACGTTACTTATAACCAGTCAAGTACAACGAAACCAGCCTTCCTTAAGAGTAGCTGCCCATTTGTTGCTTTAGCAGCCAGAAGTTGCCTGCAAAAGCTTTAAAGAGAAGATTATACGGATGTTGGGTCTTGCTTTTGGCATCAGAGAGAAGGCTACTGAGAAATCAATAAAATCTTAGACGTGCTCCGATGAGGTCTGGCACTGGACTGTAAGAAAAATTTCAGAACTCCATCTTACACTGAACTATCTGAGGAGAAGTGTCACAAAGGACACAAAGTCTTGACGTTGCATCAAGATGGGCTTCGAGTGTGCTTCAGAGGACATATGCCACCTTACAATTTCTCGTTCTGTTTTGCAAAGAACCTTAAGGGCTAAATTCTGCTGTTATTGAAACACAATGTTTATTTCTTTGTGGGCAGCAGAACGTTTAAACACCCAAAGCACCCCTCCTCCCAGAGCCTGTCAGCTGACAGACACTCATGCAGATGGTGGCCTGCAGTCCCTCTTCCTGAGGGCCAGGTGCAGTTGTCACCGGGTTGGCTGGTCCGTTTTGGACACAGTTATTTCCAGAAATACGTGGCACCTTCCCCAGTGAACTGCTTATTCAGGCAGCCTATCATCTATTAGCAGCAATACAAAAAACCCCCACATTTTCCCCTCTCTCCAGGCCATGTTCTGTCTATGAAAATACATTTGTAACCACCATCTCATTTCCTTTCTCATTCAATTACAAAATCTATTATAAACAAGCCAAGCAGCAGCAATAAAGTAACCTGTCACCTTTGGGGTTCCAGTGACACACCACTTCACACAACAACGCTGTTAAAATTTTAGTTACATTACGTCTACAACGAAACAAAAGCCTTTTCCCTCCACGTGTGGGTGCAACCAAGGATAAGTGACCCACAACCAGTGACTCGCTCCACTCCAGGGGCTGAGTTAACACATTTTCACCCAGAAATACTGTTTTTTCTTCTAAATTCGACTGGAAAAGAGAGTCTGTAATCCTCTAGCAGCTATTCACAGCTGCTCTTTGTCAACACTGAGCAAGGAACGGACTGTGCTTTTTGGAGTGGGCACCTTCTTCACGCCTTTGCTGTGCCCACTGCCAAAGGACTGGCAAAACCGCAATGAAATGACCCCCCCAGCCCGAGCAGCACGCTGGCCTTTCCTGTGTTCACCTCTGCAGACCCCTTGCAACTACGCAGAGCGCAGGAGTCACGCACCCTTCCCGCACCTGCGGCAGCGGGGGTCTCCCCACGCTGCCCCCCACAACCAAGGGGACAACGCACAGCCAGACAAAACGCTGCCGAGGCACCAAGCGGGGGCTCCACTTCGCCTTCCACACACGGCGGAATCCTCTACAGCGACCAGCTCTGGAGGGAAGGCAAGCCCGATGAGATGCAGCGCTGTAACATTCCTAACGCAAATCAAACCCTGACGGGCAGAAAAGCACTTACCTGAATAAAGTTTGAGGCCACAAGGCGAAGACGGGATGAGGAGTCTCCTGTTCTAGAGAGCAAATTTGGAAGCGTTTTTTCCACACAATGAGAAGTTTCTAGTTTTCCCAGATTATGTTTTGGTATATATTGGGTAATGATCATTTTTAAAAGTTTCAGGGAAGCTTGAAAAACCTAAGGTAAAAAGGAAACACTGAACAAAACCACCGCACAGACCCCAGTTTTCAGACAATGTTGTAAAATCTTCTCTGTAGTTCTAAAGAGCAGCAACAGGAGGAATCTGGAATCCCATACAGCAGCACTCTTAACGGAAGCTACTTCAGACACCTCTGCCAGAAAACACTTTGCCAGGGCTTAGGGGAAAGGCTTTGGAATTTGTTTTATAAAGAGTAACACAGCCCTTGAGTTTGTTTGGTTTTTTTTTTCTTCATGTTTCAGGCTTACTTGAAGCCTGAGCCTGCTTTAGGCTAACTGTAGTGTCTAAAGCTGGAAACAAAAAGTTACTTCATTGCTGTATCTCAACTTTACAAAAAAAATAAAAAAAGAACAACGAAAAAAGGCTCAACTTTTTTTCTTTTTTACCCACACATTTACTGACTCGGCACTTGTTTCTCACGCTCATTACTCAGCCCAGGACAGTATTTCCCATGCTGCTGAATGCTGACGTTGCCCAGTCCCTGATCCTAACTAAAGCTGACATTTCAGGTGTTTTACTTGGTTTGTTGTTGGTTTCAGTTTGGTGGGTTCTTTTTTTTTGGCGGGTGTTTTTGGTTGGTTGGTTTGGTTTTCTAAACTTACCCAACAGCAGCTTTACAAACTATTTGTTTAAACTGTTTAAAGCATCTTAACCACACAGTTCTACAATTTTTGCTGTTAGTTCTTCACTAGAGCACTTATCAAACGTCTCACCACTTACGGAAGACACTATGTCTTTGATGGCCCTCCTTACGAGAAAGATGGCAGCCCTCAGCATGTTCTTTAAATCATCCTTTGGAGCGTTTACTGACATTTCCATCATCTTCTTATAGACAGCCAGTAGGGCATCTTCTCGATACGACCAGGTTTTGGAATATGCTCCTGAAACCTAAACATAGAACAAGTTTATCTCTTAAAAGGCCAATACTGATACTTCAATATTTATTAACATTTACATACAGGAACAGTCTCAAAAGAACACATGAGCTTAAGCATGAGAGCCCCAAGTGTTTCCTACGGGAATCCAGCTTTTGCTAAAAGCATGCCTTTTTGAAAAACAATGAGTAAAATGGATTAAACAGCTCAGGCCCAAGGAACCCTTTCAGGCACAGTGATGGCTTCTCTCCCTACAAAAGACAACGGCAAGGTATGGTATTCTGGTAGGGTCCGTCCTAAAGCAGTCTGCTGGATACCAGCTGCTTCACAGCTCATCAAGTGGTCAACCACAACAGCTACAGCACCGCATAAACAGGCACCCAGACATTCAAGGCCAATTTTCAACCTCAGATTTTTAAGTAACAGCTCTGAACATGTGAAAATCACATCAGTAGGTCTTGGTTGACAGCACATATCCAGTCAACTCCACACAGACCACAGTGATCCATGTGTTTGTTTTGTTGTTGTTGTTTACCAAAGCTTCTCCAAACACTTCCACAGCAGGGCTGGCCTCCCTCAGGGCCTTCTCAGTCAACGGTTCCGGCTCCCCAGTTATGCCACTTCTTCGAGTATCACCGACACCCTCTTCTGTCACCTCCGGCTCAACGTACGCAACCGCTTCGGACTGTTTACAGACAGCTGGGAGAGGTCGCTCATCATGGGGCAAAAATTCAACCTGACAGAGAAGATAAAAGTTGCTAGTCTAGCAATGACTCAGATGTGAAGTTGCTTTGTCACTAACTGGATTCACCTCAGTGCATCTTTTTCCCCATCAGAGCGGTATCGGTTCACAATTAAGCACAGATGCTGAAGTTCTCATAACAACATCATGAAGAAATGGAATCAGTGCCTGTGAATAAAATTTATTTCTTGTCCATAGAATGCAGTAAAACACACACAAAATGCCTTTTGTGGAAGTGAGTGCATCTAGGGCAGAAATCACCTGTTGACAGGAAGCCAGCAAGTCATAAAGCTTTAAATTATTTTAAGTCAACATCCTGTGAAGAGAGAATACTACTGCTGCTAAAGCCAATGCAAGTCTTCCTCAGCTTTGCCAAAAGCTGGAGCAGCAAAACCTGAAGAGTGGGTTAACTACAGACCATGATTTTCTTCCTCTCTTCAGACATGACACCAAGACTCTTACCCTACAACCACATTCCAACAAATCCCCTTGCTGCTGTGGATTCACCCCACACGATCTCTACGAAGATTTATTAAGCCATTAATGGACCAAGCAGAATTCAGCTTCCAGCACATTGGCTGTGTGACCCTTGATTAGTCCTTTAATGCCTACTGGCTTCCATTCACCTATTGGTACAACCCCCCTCTGCCTCAATCCCCACGAACATCTGTAAAAGCTTCCAAAGAAATTCAGGGAAGAGAAAGACCAAGGCCAATTATGAGATGGACACCGCTCAGCAACAGCCAATTTCAGATACGATGCAAGCCATGAGAATAACCACCAAAGACCCTGTTGTTTTGGAAGGCTGAATACAAGATCCTTCGCTCTGGCAGACTGCTGCAGCAGCAGGGGCACGCTACTCACGTTGTCTTTGGGAAACGCTTCCCTGGCGGTCGCACGGTGAGTCTCAGGAGGAGGAGGGGACTGATGGGAGACAACGGGCTCAGCAGAAGCGGGATCTGCTGACTTCTCTCCCAGCAAAGGCTCTGCCCTCCATGGCTCTCCTTTTTGCAGCTCCGTGTGCTCACAAGGAGGTGAATTTGCAGCTTTTGTCTGCTGAGGACTGTCGGTGTAAACCATAGACTCCAAAGGCAATTCAGGTGGTTTTCGAAGCTGAGAAAGGGAAGGAGATTTTGTAAAGCAAGGCTAACAATGAACTGAAATCAGAGTCAGTGCAGCTGCAGCTTTGACAGTCAACAGGATTCTGGTGCTTTCAGGTAACTATCAGACCTCGCTCACAGACATATCATCATTTCCACTGGATGCAGCTTTATGAAATAATCAGAAAATAATTCTGTGTGGATGCGTGTGTGGAGAGATGATAAAGCTTCCCATTCTGAGAATAATACAAACTTATGTGTATCTTATCCCACTAATTCTGCACGGTCAGCCTTGATGCCAGCACCAGCCTGTTACATCCCTTCAAAACAAGAGAAAGTACCTGACGAACCTGCATTGGGTACCCCTGAAATTACGCAAAACATTCAGGATTCTAATGTCATTTGCTTGAGACCTGAACAGTTTAAAGTAATTTATGGAGAGCTAAGCATGTTCATAAAACGCCACGTGCAAGTCTTTAGTTAGGGAAACCTACAGTCCAAATAGGAAACTTAAATTCCTGATAATTGTCATAAAACACCTGTGTAACCACTCATATTCTTTGAATTTATTTTGGTTGTTCTGCCATTTACAACACCCCTACGATAAAGCCTCCTGAATGAGGAGCAACGGTACCCACCACCAGCTCTGCATCCAGAAGGTCGTGCAGCTGCAGCTGCTGATACACCTTCAGGCGGTACGCTTCCATTTGCTCTTTCTTCTTTTTGGCAAGATCATAGTCCTCTTTCTCTACCGCACAGCGCTTCTCCACCTCATACCGCCCAAGTCGTTCCCCTACCTGGCAGGGGGTAAAACAAGCTCGCTCGCAATCACGTGGCTGCACATAGGTACATGCTTCGGTATTTTCAGCCACGTTATTACATCACGCTATCTGATTTTAAAATTCCAATTTGGAAAATATACTGCAAATCCTTACGATTCCACAGGAACGCCAGGGACCCCGACGGACCGCTGGAACGCTGTCTGGCTTAAGAGACCAAGAGTCTTCCAACAATACCTTCTGCAAGTCTGCAATGGCTTGTTTGAGCGCCTTGGCGTAATCGTAGCATTCACGGCGGACGGCTTCGCGCTTCTTCTCATCCAGCCTGCGTATGATCTGCGCGACCTCTGGGTCCTGGTACATGTCAAAAGCCAAATCATCCAGAGGGGAAATGGAGTCAGGTTTCCTGAAGATAGAAAGTGAACAAAATGAACGGTCAGCTGATCCAAACCAGACCAGGCTAAGCGTACGTCTGCTCTCCTCACCAGCAGGGGACGAACAAAGTACAGAGGCTGAGAACTACTTTAGACTGAGCGGACGCTTTGCCAGGGTACATGCAAAGGATCATCCTTACCCCAGGTAAGTTCCATCTAAGGCAGGATCATCTGATTTAATTCCCAAGTAGTGGTCTATCAGCTTCTCTCGGGAAGGCTTTGTAAGGGGAAAAAAGAAATATCTCAATGCACATTCATCAACATCAAGGGTATGTTCAGGACAGAAATTCTGACTTGCCACGGTCAACATCAGCTGTGCAGCTTACAGCCCTTATGTTTTGGGGCATATCGAAACAGGAGAACTTGGGGAGGCTGGAAATGCAAATGTCCCAATTGATTACGGCCTATTTTTTGTATCTGCATATCTGCATCTCAATTTTAGAGAATATTCTTTCTTCAAGAGAAGATACAAAAAAAAAAACCCACCACATGGCAGCTTTGCCACAGCACAAAACCAGCAGAAGAGCGATGCGTTCCCTGGCCCCAAGAACCCTGTAACCGAACACGCGCAGAAGCAATGAAAAGACAGGGGTGCTTTGCACTTACAGTGTTATTGCTGTCAGTACCGTGGTCTGCTGGATCTCCAATAATGTTTATAGCTACTAGGGCAACCTGGGATAGAGTTAAAGAAAATGGAAATGCATAAGGTCATTGCTTTTTCCACATCTTATGAAAACTGAAACAACAACAAAAAAGAAAAAAATAGGACCCGTGGTCTCCAGGGTGGTACGGAAGCCAAGCAAAGCACTGAGCGCTGAAGGTACTTCACGCCTCATTAAAAACGTATTACCAAATCTACCACATTGTACAGTCACCAGCTGTTCTCCCTTCCGGCCTGGGATGGAAGTGAAAAGAGTCACCGCCGAACCGAGGCAGGTGCTTGTTTTCTCTGCATCAGGATGGCTGTACCACCTCTTCACCTAAGGCCACATCAGGTCCTAAAGACCACGCGTGGCTGTGGGGCGACTGCAGAGCTGCTCTCAGGGAAGTACTCTGTCCTCAGCACAAGCCTGCTGCGCAGTCTCAAACTGGAGTGAAAGGCAGCAATGGGGCGTGCACTTCACTCGTTAGTTCTGGGTAAGCTGTACACGCCTGGTCATGATTCCAAGTCACTTACAACCTCTTACTTGTATTTTCTGTTTTTAAAGGAAAATAACCCCAGGAGCTTTCAACCAACATTTTTAGCTTCTACAAATCACGGGAGCAGATTTCTCTGCCTGTTCTGTACTACTGAAACTTCATCTAGCGTACCAAGCAAGGACTCTTAACTCACCTGACCGTACAAGTTGTATTTATTGACGTAATTTTTATGGAAAATCAGCTTCAGGTACTGGCCAACTGCGTCCATATACACAGATTTTAACTCTCGTGCTTTGAAATCAGTCTTTTCGTTGTCTGAGAGAGGGACATAGCTGAGAATGGAACGTAACAAGTCAGCAGAGGAAACGTACAAACACCCGGCTGTGCTTTCGCTCCGCAGGTCAGTACTTTGATAAGGTTTAAAACTCCCTCATCACTGAAACAACGTGTGCTGTCGTCTGACAAGGCTGTTCGTCTGCATCGTGCCTCTTACACCTACGTCTTCAGCTCTGCTACAGATCTAAGCAGGTACAGAATCTCCGCTGCCTGCAGCACCGCACATCAATGTTACATGCAAAGCATAATGAATATTATTTCCTCCTGAGGCCTTTCCGATTAAGGTAATAAAACCATTCAGAGCTTTTTCACTTACCCCAGTCTGTGAAACCTCTCTGACTGATAAGGAGCAAAGTATTCAGGCAAGCTTTCACTGATGTAGAACTCAATTTTGCTTGAAATCATGTACTGGTGAGCAAGCAACTGCAGTTTTCGTATTCGACATCTCTCCACCAGCCGCAGAACAATCTCCTGGGGGTACTGACAGAGTCTGGAAACACACACAATGTCTGAACCTTCTTTTTAAAGATGGCTTCACTTCCAATTTGAGTAACATTCAATTATGAACCTTGCCAAAGCTATTACAGTTTACCTCAGCATTACAGCTATTGTAAAAAGAAGCCAAAGAGTAGAGTGCAACCGCTTCCCACCTCACTGCACGCAGGAGTACGTTAAAGTGCCCCGTACCTATCTAGGGGATGGGCTGAGAAGAGCGGGCTTTGAATACTAAGCCAAAGCAGCTGCGAACGCCAAGACCGACAAGAATAAAAATAGTTCCTTTTTTCCTGTAAAGGACTTCATTTAAAGGCAACGTGAGGCCTTTAGGTGGTAACCAAGGCGCTTTTTCCCCCAGGGTAAGGATTCAGTGGGATTAAAGCAACTTTTGGGTTTATAATCAGTTTGGTCCGGGATGCTGTAAACTGCCCCCGCACGGTACATCTCCCGCTCATTTTACGCTCCCTTAGTGCCTCCGAACCGTGCACCTCCCTCCCCCCTGCAGTACCTGGGCGATCGCCATCCGTTCACTGTCGGTGCATGAACCATCAGCTCTTTTGGGCTGAAGCCATCTTCATGTCCCGATGAACTTACAACTACAAAACCGATCTTGTGTGGCATCCTGCAGAAGCGAGCTAATCACAGCGATGTTTCAAGCTTAAACTAATCCCTGGAAGGACAATAAAAGAACACTGAAGCACTACAGTCGAAGAGTTAAATCCCGTGGTCCATCAAGTCAGTAGACAATGGCTACAAATCTAAATTTTCTTTAATTTTGACGCCATAAACCATGCTATATTCTTATGCCAAGTGTTTTATTAGTACTTAGTGAAAGGAGGGTTTAGCTAACTTGTGTAGCAGCTTGCCAATAAACTCAATTAAATCTGCTAATCCAAGGCAAATCTTGAAACTTTTGAGTTCTAAAACACGCACAGGAGCAACCCGTACCATCCTCTGCGTGCTTGAGCCGAAGGAAAAAAACAAACAATACAGAACAGAGCCACTTTAGCACCTTTTCACAGGTAGGCACACATCCGAGCTGCCGACAGGGACGGCACGGGAAGGGAGGCAACGACGGGCAGGACAAGCGCCAAAGACCACCGCGACGCCCACCCCCGGGGCCCCAGATGATATTGCGG